GCCGGGGGCCTGCCCCCGGGGTGCACGGCACATGCGCTGCCCAGCCTGGCCCGGCCCGGCCAGCGCTGGGCCGTGCAGAGCCCTGCAGCCATGGGGGGGAGGGCACTGCTGGCTCTCACCGTGGGGATGGGAGGGCCGGCGCTGCGGGAGCCGGGTGCACAGCTCCTGATGGCAGATGTAAGGGACACCACGCACCCCTTACAGCTGCCATCAGGCGCCCCCCATCGGTTGGCGCCCTGGGCAGCTGCCCGGCTCACCCATGCCTCCGTCCGGCCTTGATCACTACCCTTTGGGTCTGACCGTCTAGCCAGCTTTCCGTCCATCTTACAGTCCATTTAGCCAATTCATACTTCTTTAACTTGCGGGCAAGAATATTGTGGAAGATCGTATCTAAAGCTTTGCTAAAGTCAAGGCAGTGCTTTTTTTGTGACGGTACGGCCCGGAACAGCGTGCCGTCAGCTATTTTCCCAGCACACAGAAAAGGAATGGCATTTCCTCCGTGTGTACCGGCACCTGTTTTCCTAGGGTGGCTCGTTTCAGCCTGGGGTACCGGCACCTTTTTTCTTACAAAAAAGCACTGAGAATGTGTATCTCATCTACCGACTTCCCCATGTCCACCAAGCCAGTTATCTCATCATAGAAGCTAATCAGGTTGGTCAGGTACGACTTGCCCTTGGTGAATCCATGTTCCTGATCACTTTCCCTTCTTCCAAGTGCTTCAACATGGATTCCTTGAGGATCCCTCCATGATTTTTCTGGGGACTGGGGTGAGGCTGACTGGTCTGCAGTACTCTGTTTTGGCCTTCTCCCCTTTTTTAAAGATGGGCCCTACATTTGCCTTTTTCCAGTGGTCTAGGGCCTCCCCCAGTCGCCACGAGTTTTCAAAGGTAACAGCCAAAGGCTCTGCAGCCGCATCAGCCAGCTCCCTCAGCACCCTTGGATGCATTAAGTCCGGCCCATGGATCTGGGTGTGTCCAGCTTTTCCAAAGAGCTCTTCCCCGGTTCTTCCCCCCGCCCCCGGGGCTGCCCAGTGCAGCAGTGCTGAGCCGACTTGGTCTGTGAAGGCAAAGAAGCACTGAGCACTTTGGCGTTCAGGGTCGCCAGGTGCCTGCTAGTGACCCAGGCAATCTGGTGTTTTGCCTCCTGTCCGGTGAACAAGTTCAGACAATACCGGGCACCTAAACTGTGTGGTACTTTCTGATTTTCTTTCCCAACCAGGAGGCGAAAACACCGGGTGCTTATTTGGTTCTGCAGGGGAGCTGTCTGGCCCGGCACAGGAAGATAAGATGGTGGGCGGCCACCAGCAGCCTATTAGGGCCAAAAAGCCTCAAAAGTATTTCTTAAAGGAGCCATGCTGCGTTTTGTTTTGTTTTTTGCATTCAACAACTTTGGTCTCCCCCCCTTTTTTTTCTCTCAACAGAATTTTTTGGGGGTTTTTTTTGGGGGGGGGGAGGAGGAGGAGGAGATGTTTGGTACTTTTGGTTAAACCATCTGGTAACCCTACCATCTTTCCCCACATCATCCGTCACTGGGTTACCTCCCCCAATCAGTAAGGTCCCACCCCTCCCTGACCACCCTCTTATTGCTAACATGGCTGTAGAAACCTCTCTTGTTACCCTTCACATCCCTTGCTGGTTGCAATTCCAATTGCACTTTGGCCTTCCTGATAACTCCCCTGCATGCTCGAGCAATATATTTATACTCCTCCCTAGTCATATGTCCAAGTTTCCACTTTCGAAGCCCCTACCTGCACTGCCCACACTTCCTGCCTCCTAGTGGCATACTCAGGGATCCCCCTCCCTCCTTCTCCCTGCTGTCTTCCTACGCTTGTCCAAGTGAGGGGTTTGTATCTTCAAACCCCTGGCCTATTCCCCTTTCCTAGCAGGCTTTGCCATGAAGGGCGACAGCCAAACGACTCTTTTCCCCCATTCTCACAGCAGCCTCACATGGCTCACTGCTCTCTCTAGAATGAGCCTCATGCCCTGAACCCAGCCTCCAGGGCAAAGGTAATACTTCCCGAGGCTTGCTCCTGCTCCCTGGAAGCTGGTTTTCTGGTACTGGGAAAAAGGGGCTCTGAGCCCCAATTGTGGGGTTCTAGATCATAAATAAGAACTGGGAGCACAAATCTAGCTTACTGTTGAGCTCTGGTTTGTTCTTCAGAGACCTTTCTCTTACTCCCCAGCAAAACAGAATCCCAGGGTTAGGGTTAGTGAGATCCAAGAGAAGTACTGGCTCTTTGCACAAAGCTGTGGAGCTAGATGTCTTATATCCAGCTTCTCCCTCCGCCCCAGCGTTCACCTCACACTCTACATTTACTTGCATTGAAAAGACAGAGTCAGGTTATCAGCAAAATACAGGACACTCTTAAGTGATGGACAAACACTTACTGAGCACCAGAGCTCCCTCTAGTGACTAGAGTCTAGCAAAGGGTGATGCTGGGGCACCATTCCGCAGTGGAAAAACAGCAGTTAGTTAGTCCTGTAGAGCTCACAGACCTGCCAGTTCTGGAGGGAGCTATTTCCCTGCCAGATACAATAGCAAGGAAAGCTCCCCCTTGCAAGTAGAGTGCAGCTACTTTGTCAGGCTTGCCAGCGCTCAGCCTCTGTTGCAAATGAGTTAGTAGCTGGGTCCCATGGTGGATGGGCCGCTACATATAGCTGAGCAAGGCAATGCTACTTTTTCACACCTCCAAGTTAATGTCTCCTTTCCATCAGGCATTTGTTCGAATAAAATAATAATAATGATCGGGCCCACCAATGGGGGAAGGGAGACAAAGGGGCAACTGCTCTGGGGCTTGGCAATTCAAAAGGGCCCAGGTCTCCCAGCCACCACTGTGGTAGCAGTAGCCACTGGTGCCCCGGGCGGCACCCAGGGCGGCTAACATT